AAATTCTAATTCTATAGTATTCATGTAATGTTTAAGAAAAGTTTTGTAAATGAGTTACAATAGTTCATGGATTAGGGACCCAATCTTGTGGGGTTCCAGGGGCTTCTGTATAGATTATTTAGGTTAATCTTTCTTAGGGTGACCAGACAGCAAGTGTGAAAAATGGGGGGGGGAAGGGAGGTAATAGGAGCCTATATAAGAAAAAGACCCAAAAATCAGGACTGTCCCTATAAAATCAGGACATCTGGTCACCCTAATCTTTATATCTACCCTACTGGACTCAGTGCTCAGTCTAGAAGATACCATCAGAGCAGCTTAGTTTTGCAGTTCTCAAACTGCGGATTTGTGTCTCCAGAGATAACATTCTTGTTAAAAGCAAAAATGTTTATTTATATATAAATATAAATAAAAGGTGAGAAACAGACCTCAACCCTGTTGTCCCTCTGCAAATTTATGTACACAGAGTTAATCCCTTACCTCTCTCTAAAGTGCAAAGTTTCAAAAAGTTCAATGAATTTCTAGAAGATTGTTAGGGGCGGAACAGATCTGGACAAAGAGAAGAAGTCTGGAGATAAATGTGAGAAGGGAGGGACAGGCAGTAGAAACAAAAGTGAAACTGTTTGAGCAGTATATTCCAGAAGTCTTGAGGTTTTTCTGAGTGTAGCATTCATTGATTTGAGATCTACCATACCATTCTCTCACTAGAAGGGAAATACTATAATGGCAACAGGCTGTAAAAGAGACCCAGTTTGGGAATAAGAACCATTCAAAAAATATGTTTGCTGATGATGTTTTAAAGACAGTCACACCAGCGAACTGGTGGAAGTCACTTAAACACTTGGATTCAGAGACTGTTGAAATGATAATCTCACTTAACAGCAGTAGCTTCGTCTGCCGGTGTAGAAAGACTATTTTCTTCCTTTGGATTAATTCATTCCAAATTGAGAAATCATTTGGGACCTAAAAAGCAGGAATGCTTGTTTTTCTTTTCCAGATTATGAACAAACAGGAAAATGAAGGTAAAGATGACAGAGTTCGCTGCAGAAGCCAATATTTTAAGTTTCTCAGGTTTTTAGCAGATTTTTATTTTCATTTAACTATTTTAGTTAAAACCAACAAACCTGATTTTAAAAAACTTGACTTTATAAATTCAAAATTCATGTTTGTTTTGTTAAAATATTATGTTTGCTGTTGAAGAAAAAAATCCAGAACACATAACATTGTTTTAGTTAACAAACAATTTAAACATCTGTCTAGTGATGTTCTCCTCCTATTACAGCATAGCAAGAAAATCCTCCAAATATTAATGATTAACCTGTTGAATTGGAGATATTTATGAAGTCATTGGGAGGGGAACTATCTGCTTCACTTATCTTCGGTAAATGAAATAACCAAACAATCATTCATTTTCTGTTATAGCTGTAAAACTAATTTGAAAAAAGTTTTCAAAATAAATCACTTTAAAAAAAGGATAGTGTGTACCTTCTAAAAATGAAACCTGCATCTATCTCTGAGT